ATGCCTTCATTTCATAAGTTAAGACAGAGATCATATTCATAGCAAACCTTTCCTCCCTCAGCAACTTAAATCATGTCTGATGCAATTCACTGCAGCATTCAACACACACACACACACACACACACACACACACACATTCTAAACTGTGAAGAATCACTCAATGATATCTCGAACACCTGCATATAAATCTATCAGCCTTTCAGAGTTTCTCAGCAAACTGTGTTTTATGTGAAGCTGCGCCTGAAAATTTTCAGCCTCTTAAACGACATATGTGCTCACAGATCATAAAAAAGCTTCTCTGGGGTCTTTTTTAAATAAAAATAAATACATATTTGCAAAATAAATATAATCATTTATTTAAAAAAGCTTTTTTATTTTTTTTATTTTTAAATGGCTATTGCCTCTGGATATTAGCTGTGTGAAGCCGCACAAGCGAGCAGACAGATGGCTTGCGGCCCGGAAAAAGCAGATCTATTCCCACGAGGGCAGAATTCCATACAACGAAGAGTAGCGCTTCCGAACTGAGCTATCAGATTACTCGAGCAAGAGCCATGTGCGTTCAGATCTCGAGGACCTCTGCCAGTCGCAGAGCACACAACCACAGACAAAGAGAATATAATATGACACAGATGTGGGCAGCAGTAGAATCTTATTTGCTAATTTTTTAATTCCATTGGACAGTAACGCTGCCCTCAGAATGCGGTTTGTTACGTAAACTCTGGAAAATCTGATCTTAAGCGACTGACAATAAACAGACAAACGGAGAGACAAAAGCAACACTATAGAGGACACCAGACCTGACATGTGAGTGAGCATGACTGGTCTGAGAAACATGCATTTTCCAAAAATTCAATTCAGTTCAGTACGGGCATAACAACATTTAGAACTGTGCAAGCATAGCGGAAAATGTATGACACAATTTAGAAATATTGTATGTATGACACAATGTATAACTGCAAAAGCAACAGCAGAAAATATAGAAAACAATAAAATATATTGCATGACAAAATGTAGAAATATTGCATGACAATTTATAATTGCATAGGCAATTGCACAAAATATAACGAAAAATATATAAAAAAAAAAATATTGCATTGCATGACAAAATTATATATATAAAAATTATAAAATGCATTGTTTATTTTAAGATAATACCCTTATACTAATACATTTCACCCATTATAATATATATTTTTCTGTATATTTTAAGTAGATTTTCAGTGGCATTTCACTGATTACTCTTAATTTTTAAGGTGTTCTTGTATGTGAAATGAAAGTATGATAGAATTTATACATGCTCTCTTTCTCTGTTTGGATTTTCCTCTTGTCTTCTGTCTAATAGGCTTAAAGGGTAAGTGGGATGGAAGCGTTTGAGTTTGTTTCGTCTCTGGAGGAGAGCTTTGCCTCCTCTCATCTCTGCGCATGTTAATGAGGCTGGAGACGCAGAAGAGCAGCTCACGCTACAGGATTCCCCTCAACAACTCAACACGTGCTTCACTAAGGCTGGGTTACATACTACTATCACATACTATACTGAAATTCTACAAAATGCTCTAAAACTAGGGCTGCACGATTAATCGCATGCGATATTTAACGCGCATCTTGTCGGTAAAGACAGTTCTGTAATCAGCGGTAAATCTCCATCACCTGCGGGCTTTCACATTGAGCAGCATTAACTACACAGAGCCGTTGCTCACTGACGAGTTGCGCAAAACCACGTTCATATTCGCGCGATTTTTTGCGCAGCTCATCAGTGAACAACGGCTCTGTGTAGTTAATGCTGCTCAATGTGAAAGCCCGCAGGTGATGGAGATTTACCGCTGATTACAGAACCGGCTTTCTGAAAAGATGCGCGTTAAATATCGCATGCGATTAATCGTGCAGCCCTATCTAAAACTGTACATAACACATTCTACTGAAACTCTACATGACATACTCTTCTGAAACTCTACGTGACACATTCTACTGAAACTCCATGTGATGGATTCTTCTGAAACTCTACATGACATATTCTACTGAAACTCTACATAACACATTCTACTGAAACTCTACATGACATATTCTTCTGAAACTCTACGTGACACATTCTACTGAAACTCCACATGATGTATTCTACTATAACTCTACATGACATATTCTACTGAAACTCTGTGACACATTCTACTGAAACTCCACATTATGCATTCTACTATAACCCTACATGACATATTCTACTGAAACTCTGTAACACATTCTACTGAAACTCCACATGATGCATTCTACTATAACTCTACATTAAATATTTACTGACACTCTACATGACATATACTACTGAAACTCTACGTGACATATTCTAATGAAACTCTACATGACACATTCTACTGAAACCCTACATAACATATTCTACCGAAACTCAACATGACACATTCTATTGAAACTCCATGTGATGGATTCTTCTGAAACTCTACATGACATATTCTACTGAAACTCTACATGACATATTCTACTGAAACTCTGTAACACATTCTACTGAAACTCCACATGATGCATTCTACTATAACTCTACATTAAATATTTACTGACACTCTACCATGACATATACTACTGAAACTCTACGTGACATATTCTAATGAAACGCTACATTACACATTCTACTGAAACTCTACATAACATATTCTACCGAAACTCAACATGACACATTCTATTGAAACTCCATGTGATGGATTCTTCTGAAACTCTACATGACATATTCTACTGAAACTCTACATGACATATTCTACTGAAACTCTTCATGACATATTCTACTACAACTCTATGTGACACATTCTACTAAAACACTGTGTGACCCTCTACTGAAACTGACACATTCTACTGAAACTCTTCATGACATATTCTACTACAACTCTATGTGACGCATTCTACTAAAACACTGTGTGACCCTCTACTGAAACTGACACATTCTACTGAAACTCTTCATGACATATTCTACTACAACTCTATGTGACGCATTCTACTAAAACACTGTGTGACCCTCTACTGAAACTGACACATTCTACTGAAACTCTTCATGACATATTCTACTACAACTCTGTGACACATTCTACTAAAACACTGTGTGACCCTCTACTGGAACTGACATATTCTACTGAAACTCTACGTAACATTCTACTGAAACTGTGACACAATCTACTGAAAATATATGATACATTCACCTAAAACGCATACATACAATACTGATATTCTACAACATACTTTAAAACACATTCTACTGAAACTCTACATGATATATTCTACTGAAACTCTACATGACACATTCTACTAAAACCGACACATTCTAATAAAACTCTACATGATACATTCTACTGAAACTCTGTGACATTCTGAAGAAACTATGTGACACATGCTACTGAAAATCTGTGATACATTCTACTAAAATTCTACATGACCCTCTACTGAGACTCTGTGACACATTCTACTAGACTCTATGTGACATTCTACTGAAACTCCACATGACAAATTCTACTGTAACTCTACATGACATATTCTACTAAAACTCTATGTGACACACATTACTAAAACTCTGCTTGACACATTCTACTGAAACTAATACTGTATTATTATATAATGAACCCCTACAACATTACCAAAACTCTATGACACCCTAATCAAACTCTACAACATCTATTCAAACTTTATCAGACCCGCTACTGAAATCTTCTCTATTTGAATTCCCCACACTTAACATGATTATGTACGTGAGGTTTGGGGTTTGCTGTAGAGAATAATGTCATTGTTCTGCACTAGATGAACACGGTTACTGTTTGTTATCATGCTGTGTTGCTGAGCAGCTGCTTTAATTTATTTCAGCAACAGAATGGAGAATACACACAGGAACAATTACAGACACACTATGCTCTGATCCCAGTCTGTCTGACTCTTCCACTCCGCCAAGGTGTGATGAATGTGAGGCTGCATGAAATGCTGAGGAAAATGATAGGGAGGGCCGGGAAAACGGCAGCCAAAAGAGAGAGCAGCACAGCAGGCTTTAATAAGCCAGATCTGCATCAGTGTATCACACACACAGCATGCGGTGCAGCAGCAGCTAATCCAAAGGTTGCTGGTTCAAACCCCTGAAGGCTTGATTCATGGACCTAAGGATTGCTAAGGTATCCTATATCGTATTACCTACATCATTGTGCTCTTGAGTGGGGTGCTTAAACCCAGACTGCTCCGGGGGGAATGTTCCCTGTCGTAATTGTACTGTGATACGTTGCTGGGTAAGAAAGTGCAAGCTAAATAACAGCACACAGAAACAGAAAGCCTTAATTCACACACAATATGGCCAAAAGATTTGACACACACTCTACGGAAGTACAAACGAGCTTCCGGCTAGGAAAGCTTGATTTCATGCATAAAGTGCAAAAGGTTGCAAAAATTCAAGAACATACAATAAACCTACACAAAACATGCACTTTCAAAACTCTACGCATCATAAAACTCATCAGAATTGTGTTTGTTTGCATATACACTTCAGGTCAAAAATCTGTTTTTACAACATTTCTTCTGACCACCAGGGGCTGCATTTATTCGATCAAACAATTGGAAAATTTGTGATTGTGAAAATGTAAAACTATTGAAAATATTATTACAATTTAAAACCGAATATATTGTAAAACGTAATTTATTCCTGTGATCAAAGCTGAATTTTCAGCATCATTACTCCAGTCTTCACATGATCCTTCAGAAATCATTTGAATATGCTGATTTGCGATTAGAAATATTTGTGATTATTATCAGTGTTGAAATTTTAGTGGTTATACACTACCATATAAAAAATAAAAAACTATTAAACCAATATTTTAGGTGGTAGAATTTCGATATTTTTCACAATGTTGTTTGTTTCTGCATTTTATTGTATTGCAAATAAATACAGGTAAGCATAAAAAAACTTAGAAATTACAAACTCTTGACTGGTAGTGTATAAAGAACGTTTCTGGTTTAATTGTGTTTGTGCGCCTCACCTCTGGCTCATGATCTTGTACGCATCAGGTAAATAACAGCGCGTGTTCTCCATCTGAGCGGGGTCAGCGTCACAGATTTTGTCATCGGTTCGGCCGTAATTTGCACTCTCGATCATGATGACGTCCGTCCCGGGACAGCGCAGCTCGATTGGGTAACTTTCACAGGACAGCTCGCGCCGAACAACTGCCATGGGCACCGGTGCACGACTGAATGCTGCAAAAAGAGAGAGGAGACAATCAGTAAAATAACAACTACATGCTCTTTAACCTCAGACCTGAGCAAAAGGTAAGAGAAAACCCAATCCTGCAAGTGACCAGCTACACAGGGAATTTAAGAAAACATACAAAAAATTACATGTGGCATCAAAAAATGACATGGCATGATGCATCGATGCAGCATGTGAATGAGATATGAAAACTGTGACAAACTAGATTATTTCTTTTATAGTGTCATTTTAAAAGCTTGACCTGGGTCACCATTCACGCTCAGTATTTAAAAGAGCCACATTCTGCAAAATTTTCCAATTCTAATTTTGCATTACATAACTAAATACTAGTGAACTATTCTTTTAACTGATTGAATACATAAAACTTTGAAAAAAACATTGTTAACTATTGTTAACTAAAAAAAAAAAACTGAAATAAAATAAATGTTAACTGAAATAGAATACAAACAAACTTAAACTTATTTTATTTCAGCTAGTTGACAAGGCAACATTTCTCATTTCCATTTAGTTTGTCTCAATGTACTAATATATCTAGAACTGAAATAAATATTAATAAAAACTATATAGACATTTAAAAACAAAAACAAAAATTACAAGAACTGTAAAATGAAAATGAAAACAGAAAACATCAATTAAATCAAACAGCATCTTAATGATACAAAAAAAAAAAAAGCTTGTACACTTTAGTGGTAGATCAATTTGGGTTTTACAATATTTGATTGATAAATTAAAATTTTTGCATCAACCAAATAGCATGTATTAATGAGAATAAGACACAATCTATAATAAACCTCATTTAAATTTAAATAAACGAGAGAGAGAAAAAAACATATTTCAATGCACGTTAAACCGGATTGCAGATCATTAGTGAATAAGATGTATATTCTTGTGTGGAAACCCTGCATGGCACAACAGTTCAGAGAAGTCTTTTCAGATAATTCTGGATGAAGTAGCAGCAGAACACATATAACAGGATCCAAGATCATTTCTCTGCTGTAAATCTGTCCAGATCAGAGTGTTTAGTCCCGGCTGATGGACTAAAGCTCAGCTTGTGTTCAGCTCGAGCCCATGGGTTCAACTTAGGGGACCGGAAAAC